AAAATTATCCGACATTTAATTCAGCTGAACCTTAACTGGAATAATCTTCTAAGGATCTAATTATCACTGGTTGTTKCAAGTTTTTTCTTGAAATCCTGATGCAAAGCGTTATATTTTTGCTATCTTTTGTAAGAGTGAGTGACGTCATCTTTTGACATCAAACATCGCTCCATATATTTCTTTATAAATAGAATTTTGATTTAAACACGATAGGATGAAGGGTAGCTATCGTGAACATACAAGTCTATTTACAAGACTTTCAAGAAACCATCGTCTTTCACAGAACATTTTCCACAAGAAACCCAAAACAATATGCGAGAGCAAGCATGGGAGTTGAGGGGGAGGGGGTGGTAATTGTACGTTTGGCTTACTTATGAGATAATAGTGCTTCAAGCCATCGCTGACTGTAAGATTCGTTTCTGGAATTCTTCAGATTGTACTTGTTCAACGGTAAGTAACGATAATCCAAGCTGATCCTCCTGGAAGATATAAAGTATTACAGAAAAAATAGTTAAAAACAAACATTTTGCGCAAAAAGTTTTCGCGTGACATTTGCGAAAGATTTTGAAATCGAATAAAACGTGAGAAACGAGCGACAGCATTTTACCCCTGGGTTTCGGAGGATGAAAACTTGCAGGCTCGGTTGTACGAAGATTGTACGAAGGTTGTACGAAGGTTGTACGAAGGTTGTGCGAAGGTTGGATAGCGCTAGCCGAGTGGAAAAATTTATTGGATAACAGCATCAAATTATCAGGTGTATAAGATTTATTCGTTAAATAGCGCTATCCACCCTTCGCACAAGCGATCCCTAAAGGACACAAACAAGAGAACAAGCGAGGGGCGAGGGAAGGAGGGGACTCGTGTAACAAGACTAGATGTGATTCACAATTCATACAAACTTGCGATTGATATCGCGCAGGAATTGCTTCTAAAATTGATTACAGAGGAAACACATTTTTTACGAACCTGATCGAATGGTTGGGCCATTTGCCTGAGAAATCGCTTACTGATCTGCTCGATAGACAAAAGAAAAAAACGATATGAGCCACAAATATAAGCTATTCTGATGTGATAGGGTAAATATATAGCAGGCAGCGCAAGGACATGGGCGTTGTCCTGATGCAATTTCAAGTTGGTTGCCTATTACTCTCGCGATCTTTTCTCGTTTAGGTTTATTGTCCTCGATTTTAAAGACGTTTAAAATTCATAGGTACATCATCATCATCATTTTCATCATCATCATCTGTTGCTGTCAAACACAAAGCAACAGATTTACATAAGCACATAGAAAGGGTAAAAGTGAGGCATGTGTGATAGGTCAAGACCTCAGCCCCAAGGCAGAAAGCGCGCACTGAATGCTGGCCAGTTTCCTTAAAAGTAGTGTAAGTCTACTCCTACAGGGCTAACTATTACAATTTTAGTGTCGTCTGGGGAAGAAAAAAGGAAAGACTTGCTTCAAGCACCAGGATTACTACCCTGCAGGCAGAGCCTCTTTCATGTACACGGCGCCCATAACCGTAACCGGAAGTGCACTATTTGAATCCGATTTGCAACGGGGTGAATTAGCAAGCGAGACTTTGTCTCCAGTGAAGGTAAAGACTTTGAAGAAGAGTCAAGTCGACAGAGAAAGAAAGTAAAAGGATGTTTTGTAAATGTATAAAGGCCGGTTTAGACTACGATTTTCGCCTACAACTATCGTACACAACACGCTCGCGCCATCCTACAACTCGAGTCGTAGCGTGTAAATTAAGCCTACAACTCGCCAACGACAGACGTCAGCGTGTTGTATACGATAGTTGTAGGCGAAAATCGTACCGTCTAAACCAGCCTTAATAATATCACCTGTACTCCTTCATCGATGGACAGATTGCAAAGAGAATCCTTTAGATATTCCTGTTAATTATAAACACATAGGGGTGTTAAAAGTTACGTAAAGTCTGTCACGCCAGATGGTATTAATCTACACGTTTTGATATTAACGCATCGGGAGGTGATTCGTCGAGTGGGGCATTAAATCTTGTAGAATTGACGCTATATAAAATAAAGGTATTATTATTATTATGTATTATTATTATTATCATCATTTATACTCTTACAATTTGAAGATTTTCATAATTATTCATACTATCGAAATCACTACAACTGTTGGCACCGCCAAGATAACAATCCATCGCGTTTTGAATTTCGGTTAACTCACGTGACCATTTGAAGAGCTCCAAATAGTCACGTTGAGGTCACGTGGCATTCAGATACAAAAACAAATCATCAGAAAATAATGAAAAACTTCTCCCACGTGACCATTTGTAGCTCTCCATATAGTCACGTGAATCAACCGAAATTCAAAACGCGATCAGTTGTTATTTTGGTGGTACTAACAGTTTCGTGGTTCATAGTGGTAATAAATTCTATTACCTGTATCCATTTAGGAAGCTTTCCYCTTTTGTCCATCTTCGAAAATCGCTGCAAAAAAATAACACCAAAATAGACGATTACATTATGGATGTTTTATCTTATTGTTGCCTAGAGTTCGTTGCTATAACAACCGTAACCATAGTTACCTTATCAGCAAATACCAAGATGCCATAGTCTGTCTTACCTCGGATGGCTCGACCCACACACTAGTAGAAATATAAGATTAACATATTAAATACGCGGCAATAATCTAGAGAATTAGAAATCATAGTAGTAGGTCGCCCTTCCCGTCGGGATTGCGTACTCGGGTCATTTCAACCTCTAATTTGTTGGAGTTCCTCCAATTTTAGACTACGTGTCCACTAACGTGGGGAGGGGAACAAGGGCAAGTTCATTTTCGGCACCAACATTTAATAAATTTAAGCGGAATTCCCGTGGATTTGGCGTGAAAAAAGTATATTGCCCCACCTATAATCGAGGTCTCGCTACGCCCCTGTACGTGTCACTCTATTGAGTGTTGTTCCTTTATTACTAAAAGTAACGTTTGACAACTGATACATCTAAAGAAATCCTTCCTGGGACGAGAACGAAAAGGTTAGTTCACCTGAGCCGCGTGTCTCATGGCGTCGAATGTAAGGAAGTCATTTTCTCTGATATTGAACTGATCTCGAAGATACTCTAGACGAGCCTGGGGATGGAAGCAATAAGAATAGAATATTAGACTTAAGACTCATAGACGGACAGACAGACAGGTAGACAGACAGACGGACAGACAGATAGACGGACGGACAGACAGACAAACGGACAGGTGGACAGCCAGACATAAAGATGGACGGACAGACAGGTAGACAGACAGACAAACGGACAGGTGGACAGCCAGACACAAAGACGGACGGACAGTCAGGTAGACAGACAGACGGACAGGCCTAGGCGGACAGCTAGACACAACGACGGACGGACAGACAGGTAGACAGACAGACGGACAGGCCTAGGCGTACAGCTAGACACAACGACGGACGGACAGAGAGGTAGACAGACAGACAGACAAACGGACAGGTGGACAGCTAGACACAAAGACGGACAGACAGACACCTTAAGGATCCTGCTCTGAGTGTAGACATATGGAATACCAAACATGATGACAGCCCGGCCAAGATGGTGATCTAACAAGAATAATATAGGTAACTGAGGTAAGATCACATACACATACAAGGATGGTGTCAGTAGCAGTAGTACACTCGCCTCTGGAGTCTATAGGGTTCGATTCCTGGACTCGGCATCATGTGTAAGTAGAATTCGTTACGTCTTTCCCTTGATTCCAGGTTCTCTGGTTTTTCTCTCCCGCAAGCCTAACATGCTAAATTCTAAATTCTATGCCTTGACTTCAGTCGACCTCCTCGGCTCGGGCGTAATGTTGTCCCATTTCAGACCACGTGTCATTCCCTAGAGTATCATTTCTTTATTTAACGCTTATGCTCGGTTGCACATGAGGAGGCACATAAATATGGATACAACTCAAACAAAGAATCTTATTCTCAAGGATATGACACGTGGTCTGGAGTGGGCAAACATTTTTATTATTAGCCCAGAGATTGTTGCAGAGTATCGCTTTAATTTGATATGAAATAAGATAAACAAACTAATATGGCAGTGGTAACCGAATGATAGAAATCAGACTTACCAAAATCAACCCCTTCTGACACTTTCCCTCGAGCAACGGACAGTAGAATAGCTCCACGTCCATTCTCACACGCCTATAAAACAATCCACAACAAGACTTGTTATACAGAAAGCCCCTAAAATATGGTGCTGGGCTTCTTGTGGAATCAGTCCAATACTAAAAAATAGAAGGGAGGAGTAGGTAAGGTTTTTTTTGATTACCTTATGATAGTTAAATAGAGCCAGACTGGTTTCTGACGCATCTTTTGTTTCGATGAAAAGAAGTTTATTTTTTTGTATACCACTGATTATACCCTGGAAATAAAAAGATAAGGAGATTTGAAACGTCGTTGATTTAACAAAAAACTATTAGTGAATAGATCTCTTTAGGACGAGTGTAATGTTTTCCCAATTTAGAAAAAAAATGGAAAAAATCAAATTCTCTACTTTCACATCCCCATAATGCCTTGCGTCTTTGGGGGTAACCAATCAAAAAACTGTCCCAAATTGAAAGGTTTCTTAATTGAATTTATACTATATCTGCTTTTATCTGTACAGTACTGATTATCAGTTTATTCCAAGTTATTTTTGCGTATACAGATCATCATGAGTTTTGGTCTTACAGAAAATGTATTGACTTACGAAAAATGTTTAAAATTTACCTTAAACGTTTTCAAGCTTCTATCTTTTTCTGTTTTTTTTTTTACTTCTTCATTTTATTTTTGGATACCAAACAAGGTATTGTCAACATTGTCTGATAAGCCTTCAGCAAAATAAGCGGGTTTTCCTTCAAAGACGCAAAGTATTATGGGGATGTGAAAGTAGAGAATTCAAAAACGAGGAAAACTCCATCATCATAAAAGGTTGTAGTTGGTTGTAGTATCTAGAAAGGTTTTTCCATAAGAATGAGTACAATCTTATTTCAGTGATACCCTAGGGAATGAAACGTGATTTGAAATGAAAAACACATGATATGTCTAAGTTTAACATTCTACTTAGATAACACGAGAAAAGGAAGGAATATATACTTTACCTGGTCATGCCAAATAGACACCACGGCTTCCTGAAACAATATTGGAAAGAAATCAGATGAATTATGTACTGTAAACTTATGTACTTATGTACTAGATAAGCATCAGTTAATCGTCATCAGCAACACCAGGAACTGGGAGTAACATTGTCAAAATTTTCATAAGTTATCGGCATCATCACCTGTATCATTATCATAACCAACTTCATCCTCATCATCTGAGCATGTTCATCACGATCATTATCATAATTACCATCCCCATCATCAGCACCATCATCATCACCATCACAGTCATCATCATCATCACCATCATTATCATCATCATCATCGTCATCACCATCACCGTCATCACCATCACCGTCATCATCATCACCATCACAGTCATCATCATCATCACCATCATTATCATCACCATCGTCGTCATCACCATCACCGTCATTGATTTATATTATTTATTTTTTCTGTAGGTTTATTCACCCTTCATTGCTCACCATATACTGATAACTTGTAAAAAAGCAAACGATACCATCAGGCACTACAGCAGACATCTCAGCAAGTAGGTTACCATAGTTACGAATGACAGCTTGGGGAAAAAAACATCTTAAAATGACAAGTACAACATGTCACAGGTCTTTGCTAAATTCAATAAACATGATGCATTGTGGTCTATCTCGGGTACAAACAACACCATATAAGGCATGGTAAACAAAAAAATTTTATTATAAAAAAATTTTCATTACTTCGGAAAAGGTGTACGGGGGGAACAGAGGTTGGGCAAAGCATTTGGCAAAAAATGATAAAAGCTGTTAATCCACTTGTAACTTTTCCACGTTTTTCTTCTTCCCGTGATTTGACACATAACAACGAAACCTACCTATATCCTCCCGTGTTTCGAATTTAGTTGTCATAGCGACCTGGTCACTACCACGACTGACGATCTACCCAATAAAAGAAAAGTTGAAGATTAGTTGCAAACACTGCCATCCTGAGAGAAATCAGAAGCTTCCGCTCTCTATGTTGTTAAGAGAACATATTTCGAAATTTTCCTACTGAACTGCTTGCCGCGAAATTTGGTTGAGCTAGGTTGTTGCTAGCCTGTGAAAAGGCCCTCCGGTGTGGGTGTCCCTCTCCCACAACCCCTGTGCCGGCGAGCCAATGCGCAGGCTAGGTTATCACACAATATATTGAAGAAATATAATAGAAAACGCGCGCTCATATTATGTGCATATATAAATCACGAGGAAATTAGCAGGAGAGAATCTCCGAGTACTTTATAGCTGTACACAGACGAGAAAAAAWAWTTTTTTTTTCTATTTCTTTTACAGAATACAAATAAGAATAGTTAAGATTTTGGATACGAATATTGACAAAATAGAAAGTGCGCGCGCCCGTGCTGTGTGCTCTCCTAAAGTACGCAACCAATCAGAAAGCGAGATTCGTGACAGTTCTTTTATAAAATTACATTAGTTTATACTGTACCATGGGACATAAACAGGTTCGTGCCAGGGTCATGGTGAACGATGTCATGGTAACGGGACGGAAGTCAAGGATTTTGGGATACATGTCAATAGGTGATAATGTCTGGGGAGAGAAAAGTATGGAGCCTCTCATTAGTAACACATATACTTTAAAGTAAAATATGCCGTACAAGACATGAGTGAAAAACGTCTGCGCATGCTCTTAGTGCGTATGCAAATTAGTTGAAACGTAAGTTCCTTAAATTTGGATGCGACGGCAACCTTGAGAAAGCGATCTATAAGAACGACAGTCGCTCTGCAATTGGCAATGCAACAACTTTTTTGTGATTAGTAGAAGCTCCCATACCATTTGTGTTCTTACTACAAATAAATATGATAGAAAAGACACGAGTAAAAAACGTCTGCGCGTGCTCTGAATCCGTATTCAAATTAGTCAAAACATATGTAAATTTGACTTTCAAACATCCCTGATAAATAGACGTCACAAAATGCCAAAACTTAGAGTCAATGCTTGAAACTTAAGGCTGGCTTTCTTATGGTGTCTTTATTAATACAGTGTATTGGTCTCACAAAAGTATGCTTTCAAAATTAAATGTATACTCGGAGAAACAAAAACATTTGTTTTTCTCACTCAAACAACTCGTGCTGAAAGGCACGCATGCGCAAACATTTTTGCCTAGTGTCACCACAAAAGCGTTTTTGTGGGAACAAAATGTCTTACCCCAGAAGTTATGACAACAGACTGGAATCGATCAAACACGGGTTTGATGGCCACTGATGCATCCATACAACTAAAACCAGAAAAAAGTCAGGTGTAAGTACTGAAATACACACGTCTAGTGCAACGTTTCTACAAATCAAATACAGTGGAGTCTCAATGTCTCGTATCTCCTTGGGACCACAGAAAAGGGACCGATTATTTTTTAGCTGGGAGGGGGGGCTGGTGAAAAACAGGGTATGGGCCCTCATGACTTTTTGATGACCCATCCCTAGATCCCCATTTTTTCTGGCAGCCCCCCCCCCCCCCGAATCTACCAGTGTTTTTATGGCCCCCTTTCCAACTACAAGGCCTTCTTTTGCCTACCCTCCCCCCTTAGAGCCCAAATTTTTCGGATGCCCCCCCTCAATTCCACCAGTCCCCCCTCCCAGCTAAAAAATGATCGGTCCCTAACAGGGGTTCAAGGTTAAAATCATAGTGACCTAAGTACATTGGGATGTGGTCTAGAGTTTGAGATATCTTGGGTTTGAGATAACGGGGCTCCACTGCAAAAAGAGAGCTGGAATTTGGGGAGGGGGGGGTATGTTAACGTGTGATAATACTCAAGTTTTGCATTAGCACGATCCATGATTGCCCTGGCCCTCCCTCTGACTTACCTAAGACGTAATATCGGGTTAGGAATCGTTGGCGTTCGATCATCAAAAGGTTCGATAATCAGGCAAAAACCTGACGAACAGAGAACACAAACAAAAAAAAAAAATTAAGAAAAATATATAAGACAAAGCAAACAGATAGGGGAATATACGTGTTGTATAAAAAACATTACGCCCAATAGGTCTATCAAATCTATGAATGTTCTTGAGAGAAAGAGTTCAGAGACTTACCCTTGTTGTAAGTACTGACAAGTGTGGCAAAGTTAGCGATGAGTGTCAAGGGGCCGTAGTCTTGAACTTCAGGTATCTCTAATGTATGTAGAAGAGAGCTGAGCCGCTCTGCACAGAATCTACAAACAAATGAACAATACATTAGTACACTTATTAGCCCAGAGGTTATTACAGGGTTCGATAAAATATATAATGCTGTTTTGCTATACTCTCTGTATCATCAGTACGTAGGTACCTTAAGGGTTTTCGCTCAATACAGACTTGCTGATAAATGTGCTGTAAAAACGACTGTGGGCTCTCCTGTACAACATGTTGAATACGAAGTCTTGTCTGAAGAAAATAAAAAAGGGATCGTCAAAAATAGCCAAAAAAAAAAACAACAACAACATAACAGAAAACTTTAGAGCGGATTTTACATGACTGTAAAATGCTTACATTACAGAATGGCAAGAAACTGATTGAATCTCATGGACCAAACACAGCACGAAAAAGTTACTTTTTTTCCAATCATAATACTCGGACATAGTACTTTCATGTGCACAGTATGGCAAGTCTGTAACATGAGATTTATAAGTCCTATAAAATCTGATTTACTTTAGTGCAAATGATTTGCAAGTTTCTGTGCACAGGGCGCATATTAGCTGTTCCAAGGATGTGGAAAAAACTGGGCCAAGTTGACACTGCAATGCATTGTGGGGCTGTTTCAGGGGACAAATTTCGAAGATGGTATACTCAACCCAGTTTTTTCCTTAATTTTGTAATAGCAAATAGGGAGATGGAATGGTGGTTGTAAGACTTATAGAGAAAGAGGGTTGTGTATAAACAAAGCTTATCCCTAACCAACTTACTTTTAAATATTCTACAAATCTTCTCATAAAGCTGACAAAATGCTCTGCTTTTCTAATATTCCCGGGAACTGCCTCTAAAGAGAAAGGGAAAACACTTGTTAGCAATTCCAACCATAGGAACTACATATTAAATAACTGAAGAGCTAGATGACGGCAATTCTTTCTGACCAGCCTCTTACCTTCAAGAACTTCATCAGGCAAAACTACAAAGGGGAAAAAAATTACTTTTAAGAAAAGTATTTCAAGGTGCAAAATAGGTACAAATTGATACAGTCTAGATATGACAATATTTTTGAATTGAAAAATACGGCAATAATTGATATAAAGCAACTAGGATTTGGGCCACTGGGAATGGGAGATCAAACCATGAAGATGGGGTTTCTCCAAGGTTCATCACTGGGACCACTGATGATTAAAAAAAGATGTGACTGCAAATTTGGGCCACTGAGAATGGGAGATCAAACCATCAAGATGGGGTTTCTCCAAGGTTCATCACTGGGACCACTGATAATTWAAAAAAGATGTGACTTCAAAGTGGGATTGGTACTTCCTTCAGCTTGCTTTAAAATGAACAGATATTTTATCATGATGGTAGAACCAAAACCTGGAAAAGATGGCCTGAGGATTGTTGAAAGGTCATTACAATAAACCATAAAAAGCTGAGAACATTCTTAGATAACTTGATTACCAATCCCACTTAATTGAAGTCACATCTTTTTTTTTAATTATTTGTGGTCCCAGTGATGAACCTTGAAGAAACCCCATCTTCATGGTTCGATTTCCTATTCACAGTGACCCAAATTTGCAGTCACATCTTTTTTTAATTATCAGTGGTCCCAGTGATAGACCTTGGAGAAACCCCATCTTCATGGTTTGATTCCCCATTCCCAGTGACAGGCGGTAGAACCAAAACCTGGAAAAGACGGCCTAAGGATTGTTGAAATGTCATTAAAATAAACCATAAAAAGCTGAGAACATCGTTAGATAACTACAAGTTCTAAACAGTGATACTAACCTGGATTAGCAAGAACCACATCTGTATCCCTAGCTTCACTGGCTTGCCTCAAACCTGCGGCAAAGGACAGCAACCATGGTTAGACCACAGTCAAAACATGGTTGACCATGCTTGACAATGAAAATTCATAGTACCATGGTCATCCTAATGCAGGGGCTGAAGTAGGACAATTTTGAACTAACAAATATGTTCGTATATTTGAAACAATTCTAAAGACAATCAAAACTCTAATGAGATTTATTATAACATACCTTCAACTAGTCTGTTATATTCTTCTTTTAACTTCTGTGCATCTGTTTCTTTAATACTGAAAAAATGTAAAATCTTTGTTAAGCTTTTAAAAAATTGTCATATCCCACCCCATTCCATCCCATTCCAACCTTCTTTCCTTCCATACATCAATCTATCCATTAACCTTTTTATTCACAACATCTGTTCAATCAAAACTCCATATTTTAATTCAACATTTATTTGTTCATTCATTTGTTTGTTCAGTTACTCATTCATCTATCCACTTTTTCATTCATCCAATCATTCATTCATCTATGGCACCCTTCCTGTTTCTTTCTCGCCCCCTATCTATTTCTCCCTCCCTCCCTCCCTCCCTCCTTCCCTCCTTCCCTCCCTCCATCCATCAATCCATCCCTCCGTCCGTCCGTCCGTCCATCCAGTCTTTCACTCACGAACATTCTACATACCTTTTTATAGCATTAGCCAGAGATTCCACATTAGCATGGCTTCTGTCTAAAGTTCTTCTGGTAATTGTGACACTCATTGAATCAATACAAACATTATCTGGAAGTAAAATACATGTAACAACACAAACTATTTTTATCATCCATTATCAAACTTATCAATAATTCATGAGGAAAACACAATACAAATCATGACCGTGAAGAATGTTGTAAATCAGATACATAATTGCGTTCATTTGCATAAACTTTAACTTGGATTTTCTTGGGCACATTCACTTTAATTTTTAAAATTTTAGTGAAAAACAAAGGAACTAACCTAGAGGTTTGATAAGCAATCTACAGTATGAGTGGCCGTGTTGTATCCAATATACAATCACTCGGCTATGCCTTAAGTTTGTATATCTGATACAACACGGCCACTCATACTGTATATATTACATTCAAATACTCAAAGGCTGCTATCCAAGAAACAGTGGAATGTAAATGCGCCAAATGTATGACAGCTTTCTGGCATCTGATTCACTGTATTTTCAATGGTGTGAGATAAATCCCAGTATACATGTAATACACTTCAGGGCCTTAAACTTCTATTCTTAATAGAGCATACCTATATTATGCGCCTCATCAAATACAACCACAGAAGTCTTGTCCAATTCTTTGGACACCAAGTCAGCAATTTTAGGATCAAGTAAATAATGGTAACTGTAAACCACAATATTAGCATGGTAAATCTACAAACAAATAAACAGAAATCAGTGGGGAAAAGACCTTACCACAAAATCACGACTAAATAGAAAAAAATCATTTTTAGTAGAAGAAATGGGTTTCCTGTATAAAGTTTGACCGATTGTTTTCACTTGCATATGTAGTGTACTTACAGCATATCTCGCAAGAAAATAAGGACACCATCCTTTCCTTTCACCATATGCCTTCAAGTCATCCTAAACAACAAAAGCAATGTCTGAATTTTCAGAAACATATCTAAGTCACTTCCAATTAGCCATATTGATATTAGATAAAAATTTTTGGGGGTTAATTGGGTCATGCATGATGCACATAGAGGGGATTTAACTTTCATTACAAGTTTCTTACCAGGTTATATATATCTGCAGGCAGCTTTTCGTCCCTACCAACACTGTCGAAATCCTGAATATAGAAAAAAATCACTTTGGTAGCTTCAGACAGACAGACAGAAGAGAAGACATATGCTGTACACAGCAGAGGAACAATTAAGCTGATGGACAGAAGAAAAAATTAAGACACACCGGTAGAAAGTGGACAAACAGCAGACAGACAGATAGACAGACAAACAGACAGACAAACAGGTAGTGTTAGTACTGTACCTCATAAAATGGACAGACAGGTACTGAAGAATCATCTTTGTGCCTTAGCCTGACATAAGAGGCTGTTAGCGACAGACACTTTCCATCTACTCTTTTCCCTTCCCTTTCTTCCACAACCTAACAGAAAAATAATAATTTGATAATAACAATAATTATCTTGATTTATCTAGCATTACTCTCTTTAACCGAGTCTAAATTATAACGTATTTGTACCTTGGGATTGATGCACAGGTTTTTTCTTGAACTCAAAGCCAGGCCTAACATGTTGGGTTGTTCTCCAGTTTCTTTCTCATAATATTCCATAAGTACCTTTAGTTCTTCTAATACCTGAGGTAAATATTATTAAACAAAGTTATAAAATGAACCATTACCTCAAAGTCTATAGCTCTATCAATACCCTGAAATAACTTCTAAGCTGATTTAACACAGGGCACAGCTAACTCACACATCAAACCCTGAAACAACCTTTGGGCTGATCAAAGTCAGGGCATGGCTAACTCACAGATTAAACTCGGAGACAACCTCTGGTCTGATCTGAGTCAGGGCATGGCTAAGTCACAAACAAACCCTGAAACAACCTCTGGGATGATCAAAGTCAAGGCCTGGCTAGCTCACAGATTAAACCCTGAGACAACCTCTAGATTGATCAAAGTCAGGGCATGGCTAACTCACAGATTAAACTCGAAGACAACCTCTGGGCTGATCTGAGTCAGGGCATGGCTAAGTCACAAACAAACCCTGAAACAACCTCTGGGATGATCAAAGTCAAGGCCTGGCTAGCTCACAGATTAAACCTTGAGACAACCTCTAGACTGATCAAATTCAGGGCATGGCTAACTCACAGATTGAACCCTGAAACAAAGGAATCTGGAATCCAGGAATAAAACCCAATACCCATTCTTACAATGCTGTTCAAGTATACAATAGAAAAGAACACTTTATTCATATCAAACCTTTTCAATCTCAGGCACTGTTCTGGAACAGTAAATCAACTTTGTGAGGTCAAAAGGTCTTGCCTAAAATCAATCAAACAAACAGGTCTTGAAATTGGCGTAAATATTTATAGGCTAAATACAAACATCAGGCCTGGTGTCAGGGGTGGTTGGAAGATGAGAAGGAAATCCCCATCTCTCCAGCATCTTTTCAATGTTGCATCAACCTTAAAATGGCAAATACAAAGCTTACTTTCTGAAATCCTGGTTACAGGCCTGTAAATAACAAAAATATATACCAATAATGTATAGAATTTAACTAAAAAAATTAGAATTTACTCACAATTTGGTATGCCACTATGAGAGACAAAAGAGAAACAGTTTTCCCAGTGCCTGAAGGCATCTCCAAAAGACAATGACCCTGTGATAAAATATTAAAACTATTTATAATTTGTTTGAAGTAGGGCRCGGGGTAGGTGAGGAAATTCAGGACAAGAACTGTTTTCTAATGTTTGACCAAATTTCAACTGCACCCACTACTTGAGTTGTATCCATATTCTTCGTTTGCAATAGAAATCATAGCCGCCATGTTGGAAGAATTTGACAAAAGATTTTTCAATGAATTCTTTTGTTATATCTTCCAACATGGCAGACATCCCTTTTGTTATTGTGCTCTCTTGGGATTGATTGCAAACCAAGAATATATTCATGTGTCTTCTCATATGCAAGTTTTTATAAACAACAAAAATGATACTCTAGAGATTAACGCGTGGTCTAAGAGGTTACTTATCTTTTTCCTTCTCATTTCTGTCACATTCACGTTGGATATTGCTGGACGTCATGTGCAAATTTGCTTTGTAGATTTTTATATATTCAACAATTATTTTCTAAAAAAAGACAGTTGAAAATTACGTTACCTTTGCATCTAGAGTCTTCTTGAGTTCTAGCATGTAAGAGTACTGCTCAGGATAGATGTAATCATAGGGAAAATAAACTAACAATCCATCGATGTTAAGCCTGCAAAAAAATTGGTTTGAACAAAATCAATTTTTTTCAATAATTTTATTTAACTTCGAAAAGAATATCACTTAATTATGAAGAAAACACCACGGTCTACAGATGCTCACTTCATTTTTGCCAAAAATATTAACTTTAGCTTCTAAATTCTGGTGTTTTTTTACGAGGTTTTGCAAAAGTTCGTCTGKTCCGCCATCAATAACCACAGGGAGCCCACGAAGTTGTTTCTGCTGGCTGGCAATAAGCGCAGGCTCTGAAAACGAGAATGTCGCAAAACACTATGTTTGAGATACCTGTGGAGAAGTATTGTTTTCTTCTGCGTCTCCTTTTGTTTGACAGATTTGTAGCAAATATTTGCCATTAATATAAAGCAAATCTTGCTTTACTCTCGCTTTGTTTGTTCTATCAAGCTTCATCATGGTCGCAGGTAAGCTACATGTAATAAGAAAGTCAGCGATTCTAAAAATYTTTTTTTTTTCAATGTACTTGCTTTAAGAAATTTTGAATGTAAATTTGAGATTATGATTGTAATATTTACCAAGTTTTAGATATACAGAGTGTTTGGTCGTCTTCTCGTGCTGTTCAAGTTGCTGTGGGAGTAGGTGTAGTGGTGGTAGTTACTGGAGCTCTTGTTAAGAGGTACTTTGGAGGAGGGGTGTGCACTAGCAAGGCTAGACTGGATGGTAAGCTATCTGTTATATTATTATGTTACATTATTAAGGGTACCGTTTCTTAAACTGTGTATAATTCTCTTTTGTTTAGTCGATGTTTGACAAAAAAATTGACTCTAATCACCTAATTTACTATCTAGTAACGGAACTTAAAGGTAAATTAAACATTATAACAGCAAATATCTATCATTTCGTGTTTAACATTATATTTGTGGATACTTTTAAGCAAAATTTATATAAGACATATTTCTATTACCTAATAGATCAAACCTTCAAGGGGGGTTCCGTGGACCCCTTCGACCCCCCTGGATCCACCACTGATCGGTGCTTCTATTTGTCGATAATATTTCAATTTGTCTTTTATTAAATTCTGATTGGAACGGATAGACACCACCAATACCTGACATATACATACATTAATGGTAGCATAGCTGAGATTTTTCTCTAATTGATATAATTCCCAGGTAGGACAGTGATTGTAACAGGTGCAAATACCGGAATCGGCAGAGAAACTGCTCTTGACTTGGCTGCAAGAGGAGCTAGAGTCATTCTGGCCTGTAGAAATGAAAAAAAGGCTTTAGATACAGCAAGAGAGATCATCAACAAGACAAAGAGCCATCAAGTCTTGGTCAGAAAGCTAGATATGTCATCCTTTGAATCAGTCAGAAAATTTGCTGCTGAATTCCTCAAGGAGGAAGAGAGGCTGGACATACTAGTAAACAATGCTGGTCTGTTTACAGTAAATTATGAACTGACGGAAGATGGATTTGAGAGCACAATTCAAGTCAACTACCTAAGCCAGTTCCTTCTGACTCTTTTGTTGCTCAAGAAGTTGAAGTGCAGTTCTCCAAGCCGTGTTGTAAATGTATCATCTGTGGTCCATACCAATCTTCCTACTGATATGGCATCTGATGCCTATTCATGGGCAAAGTGTTCTGAAAAAGACTTTGATGGAGGAAAGATGTATGGCTGGTCAAAGTTACAACAGATTCTTTTTACAAAAGAATTGACCAAACGGCTTGCTGGTAAGTGGATGAGTATATTTGAAGACAGGAACCGCGGAGGTAGGGGCTGAGGGGGTTGCAGTTTTCTTATGTCACTCAAAAATTACCCCACTGGAAAGCAATTGCTGAAATATTAAACCCAATATCGCACCCTTAATGACAAGCCATGTAGACTGACTGTCAACTCAGCTTTCCGAATCAAGGGTGGTGTATCAGTGCATTTGCCTATTGCCTCTGATCGTATTTATGTTTTTTTGTGCATACTCATAACTTGATTTGTTTCCTAATTACAGGAACTAGTGTGACTGTCAATGCACTTCACCCTGGTATAGTAAAGACAGAAATAGGACGAAACATCTCCATCTTCCAAAACATCATATTCAGGATGATAATCAAAATTCCTGTATTCCTGTTTATGAAGACACCCAAACAAGGAGCACAGACCACCATCCATTGTGCTGTTGATGAAAGTCTTGAAGGTGTTAGTGGATTGTATTTTTCAGATTGCAAGCCAATGCAGCCAGGCAAACTAGCAGAAGATGAAGAACTGGCGRCACGACTTTGGGACGTCAGTGAGGAACTTACAGGAATTAAATGRGAGGAAGTCAACACTGCATAGACACATGTTTTAACAATAGTTATAGCATTGAACCACAATGGCAGTAATTATCGAGCCAAATGGTCGAAGCAGCAAGAACTTGATTATGACTTTGATGAAGATCATTAAACTTTTAATTGTCATGTTTTGATGTTGTCAAACACCATCCTCAGAAAGTGAAGCACAAGTAGGATGCCGTTTGACAATGTCGAAACATGTGAATTAAAAGTTTAATGATCTTTATCAAAGTCATAATGGTAGTAATATAGTCATAGTGATGATGATGATGATGATGATGATGATATTATTCATGTAGGGATCTAATGAAATAAAAGATATAAAAAAACGATAAATTAAGTTGTGGCATGCTCGTAATGGAGCGTAACATCTCAGGAGTGGCCAGTATTAGAAACTGAGTAAGTTTAAAATAATTGCAAAAAATATCTACTTCATTTCGAAAAAAAAATTAAATTCGGGAAAAGAAATATATAAACATTCTTTTCAAAAAGAAGAAGAAAAAAAGGAGGGAGGGGGGAAAATTTCGTGAAGAGAGAGAGAAAAAAAACGTATTTGTAAGTTGAAAGGAAGGTGTATTTATTGTATATTTGGGTTTCCTGTGCCGAAGTATGTCAGATAGGAACGCCTGATATTTTTTGTAGTAATGACAGCTGTAGTCGTCTTTGTTGCGAAAGAGTCCATTATCTTCCGCGATTCCGTTATCAATCGCCATCTTCTCTCTTCTGGAATCGTATTCATCGTTGATTTAGACTTTTAAAGGATGATTAGGTGGATTATCGTGTTGATCGTCATCGTTTGCGCTGTAGTTTTGGCTGAAACAAAAGGTAGGGTTGCAATTTACGCCTCGAGTGAGGAAACTCCTGCAAGAACATTAATTTCTGTCACACGGCGTAAACTTCTAATCTTGCTCTCTTATTTTCCCCAGTTGATTTATAGTACGACGTTTTAACTGCTTCAAAAAATACTGTCACAAAATAGGTGTTCATTAATATTATTCAAAAGCCCCATCCTTAGCATAGCAATGCATGCGCAAGTTCTAAATAAATAGATGAAGCTTGCAGACGTAAAGTATAATTATGTAAGCTTATATTTAGTACAATTTTGCGATGATCTTCGATAAGGAAAAGTTTTGAAATTTCAATCTTTTTTTGTTCTTCAAATATCATAAATGCATTTTTCATTAAAATAAACGCGCGCTATTACGTATCGACAACCCTTGTGACTTTTCCCGGCATAGGCAAACGCGTCTGTATCGATCGCAATGCGGTAGTTTAAGCGCGTAAATAATTAATAGTATTTTAACGGACGTTTGTTATGTGAGAGCGAATAGGCAACACGAGGGGCTTTATGAATTTTGGGGTACTTTACTTCTGGGGTTATAATATCTCAATAAGACCCATGAAAGATAGTTTTTTAGAATCTACACCTTATACAAAAACTTGATTTTAAAATTTGATTGCACTACAAAAATAGTCTTTCATTTCTGTATGACCCATAGTCTGTAGAAATGCCACTGCAAAAATAATCTTTCATTTCTGTACAACCCATCCAAAAGCAGAAAGTTTGAAAAGGTAGATTTATCCATTCTAACTATTAACCTGTTACTATATTATAGGTAGCACATGTAACGACCACCATCCAAAGTGCGTACGATGGGCTGCTAAGGGAGAGTGTGAAAAGAATCCAAAATGGATGCTTCAGCATTGCAGGATGAGCTGTGGACAGTGTGCATCGGGTACGTTGCTATAGTTAACATTCACGAGCATGCAAATAATTAAAGATAAAATAAATGGGATTTAGCTGTGGTATTTTTACAAAGTACCTCTTCATCCACTGGGATTCCAATTTGGTTTTAAAAGTTGATTCTGGGGAGAGAGGAAAAGGGAGAACCAAGAGAAAAGTCCTCAGCACAGGAGAGAACCAACAAGCAACTCTACTCTCCTATGACACAAGCACTGAGTCCAGGAATCAAACCTAGTCCACATTGGCAAGAGTTAGTGATCTCATTGTGACTCCATTATAGCATAGAAATATTCTTTTTTTTACTTGTTTTTCAGCTAACGTTCATAATCTTCACAAACTGGCCATTTCTCAAAAGGAGGAAGCATTCAAAGTTTTTCTTGGCATTTTTATTGTGCTTGTCATTGGAATTGGAATAAAAGTGATATTTTATGGAGAAACCTGTCCCAGTGATGCTAAACTCAAAGGTAAGTTAAGATATTTCTATTGGCTTTTGTTAGCATAGTAGTTTCCTTTAGTAATATTAAAAAAGTTTAAAATTAACAAAACTTAAGGAAAGAAAACATTTAATTGAGCAAAGCTTTGGAGTTTTCAATCAAAAACTATACATAGTTCAGTAGAGAATCAAACCCCTTGTCAACCCCATAAAATAATTTAGTTAATTATTTAGTCTACTTGCTCTGACAAAAAAATTTTTTTTTACAATCAGGTAAAACTGTTATGATAACAGGTGCAAACACTGGAATTGGTAAAGAGACAGCAAGAGACTTAGCGTGGAGAAAAGCTCGTGTCATCCTAGCATGCCGCGATGTTACTAAAGGACTCAAAGCAGCAGCAGAAATCATTGAAAGCACGGGAAACGAGAATGTGGAAGTCAAGAGATTGGACCTTGCATCCTTCAAGTCCATTAGGAAATTTGCCAAAGAAATTAATGAGGAAGAGGAGAAAATCCACATATTGATCAACAACGCAGGGTACTTAGGACCTTATAAGAAGACAACTGATGGCTTAGAATCAAATTTTCAAGTAAATTATCTTGGGCATTTCTTGTTAACAAATCTTTTGTTGGATAAGATCAAAGCTTCCAGTCCTAGCAGAATCATTAATGTGTCTTCTATGCAGCATAAGAAAGGCAGAATCAATTTTGATGATCTTCAAGGAGAGAAAAGCTATGGTCAGTTTACGGCGTATAACCAAAGCAAGCTAGCGCAAGTGATGTTTACTAAACAGTTGGCAGATAAATTGGAAGGTAAGGAGCAATGGATATAAAACCCAAATTTAACTGGTTAGAAAAGATTCTTTAGTTTGGTGCTGCTCAAATTAGTGGCTGGTCTAAATTGGCACTTGTCCAGCAAATGACTGGCCTTCTTTACTGCTCACATTGACAAGTAATATTCATCAGTAGCTGTAGACTTTAACTTTAAATACTTTACTAGGATTTTGCTAATTTGGCATATATATTTATTTACTATAAAACGATCCAACTAGAACAAATTAAACATAAAATACAATTTGAAGACAGAAGAAGACAAAGAAAATTGAATTGGAAAACTAAGAGAAATACTTACATACGTTGGCGAAAAAAATGGCTTGCACTGTAACTGACTATGACTTGAACTGTAACTGATTAAATTGACGAACAAAGGCTGACTTTAAGGAGAAATTAACATAACGAATACACAAGAGACTACAAAGGGATTACAACAAACAGCACACCGAGAAAAATAACAGTAACCTAACAATATATATATATTAATTGACCGCCACAGTAGCCAGATGTCATGTCTGGTCATTGAGCAGCCATTATTCCTAAGTTTGGGAAAAGTTAACTTAAAATATATAAATAAATAAACTTGAAAATAAAAACCCATACAATTCAATACTTGCCTACTTTACTTTCACAGGGACCAAGGTGACTGTAAATGCACTCCATCCAGGAGTAGTCTCCACGGATATAATGCGCAACTTTAGAATATACCAGATGTGGGTCCTTCGTCCAATCATCTCAGTCGTCAGCTATTTATTTTTCAAGACAACAATCCAGGGTGCACAGACGACCATTTATTGTGCAGTAGCTCCTGAATTGGATGATGTTTCTGGTTGCTATTTTGATAACTGCAGAGAAGTTCCCTGTGGAGAGAATGCGACTGATGAAGGAGTGGCTAAGAAATTATGGGAGATTAGTGAAACACTTTGTTACAATGTGAATGAATGAATGAATGAATGAAAAGAATGAATGATAAATGAATGAATGAATGACAATTAGAATAATATAGAAGGAATAGTCCAACCAACTTGGGCATAATGCCTTCTCGTTGCAGTCTACATTTGATTTCTTTAAACTTGAGAACAAAATTACTTAACTCATATTCATAATAATGAATCTTCTTAAAAATGGTAAATAAAGAAATGATATTCAAGGGAATGACAAGTGATTTGGTAAGGAAAGGATTAGATCTATATATGAAAAATATTCTATGCATGCAGAAAAACAACATTGTATTAATTACAGTCGTAAAGGTATATATAATTATACAAACAACTTAGAAAAGGAAAGTGAGTAAAAATGAAATTGATTTTTTAAATTCAAGGAAGTTATTCAAACATTTGTAAATTGAAGGACCAGTGACTACCTTCACTCAACAATAGCTAGAAAAATCACTTGAAAACTGAGAGCAATTAAAATTTACACACTTGGCTCAACATTTTCACTGCAATACACTGCAACAATAATGATTAAATTAGTTCTTTAGAAGAAATTATTTGCATGAATACCTATTACATAAACAGTAGAATACTGAATCTTTATTCATTCTTGCTAAGTTTTAACATTAACAATAAAGAATCCTAAAGAAAAGGTTTTGAATGCACTTTTATAGATACTTTAATATAAGGCCAGGAAAAGTCAGAATTCTTCGTTTGCAAGAATTTGACAAAAGATTTTTCAATGACTTCTTTTGTTATATCTTTCAACATGGCGGACATCCCTTTTGTTATTGTGTTCTCTTGGGATTGATTGCAAACCAAGAATATCTTTTTAATCTTAGTCATTTCGTAGTTGCAGAAGGCGATACATCATGATGATGTTTAAGGGGACGCTTTATTACTTACATGGCGTCTTTCGCTAAAAAATTAAGAAAAAACTAAACGTTGACATGAAAGTCACATAAGACATTTGACAGCAATCCGTTTATCAACCACAGCAAGTTCTTAAGTAGGAGAGGAGTTAAACAATCACTCTCTGTTCTGGACGAATGAAACAAAAATGTTTAATATAACACTGTTAAGTTATGTTTCAAGTACAAGCAAAGTGACATTAATCTTCAGTTTCTTCTCGTTCTTGTATTGAATCCCAGTCTACGGGCATAGATCTGTCTCCTTGAGAAGATTTTTTGGTGTCCAGACCAAGTAGAAGTCCTGCCGTTCCTGTGGATCTCCGAATACTGTGACGCAAACCACCTGCATGGAAGTAAATCAAAAATGAAAGTTATTTTTTAGGTTTTTCCGGCTTCCCGATTTTTTTCTCCCTCTTCTTAAACCGACCCTAACTAATTTAAACTGGTTAGAGCTTAGTTCAGACGCTGTTTCCTCCTTTGACTTCTGCGCTTTTGTTGGGCTGCCTCAAAAAAGCGCAGCAGTGAGAGGAGGGGACAGCGTCTGGACTGGTTAGAGCTGTGCTTCGGGTTTATACATGGACTGTCACAAGCGCTCCTGCCAGAGGCGCTTTTTCATTGCCTTCAATGCGCCACTGCTGTACTTGGAGTGATGACTAGCGATAACAAGCTTTTTTCTATATTTGATGAAAGAAAGAATGTCTGAGTGAATTACCTTTTGATTTCCTCTAATCCTGTTCATCAACAGCCATGCGCACTTCCTTGAAAATAGTCCTGCAAAAAAGACGGTCCGTTCTAAGGAATTTAGGTAAAATAAAATGCGAAGGGATAATTTTACCACTTTACTTCTGATGAACTACTTATCTACACTCGTTTTAGTGAGGGCCACGTGTTAGATAACTCTCTGGGTTAATTGTGTCACCCTCCTTAAATAAAGTTTATTGTAGTGTAGTGTAGTGTAGTGCAGTGCAGTGCAGTACAAAAAAACTGTGTTTTAAATAAAACGAATAAAATGGTTCGAATAAAACGG